AAGAAGAAAAAAACTTAGGAAAAAAAAAAGAACTAGGCTCTTCGAAATAAAAACAAAAACAAAACACAAATAAAAAAGGAAAGAAAAAAAATTAATGAGTGCATTGAGGAGATGGACACTTGGATGCAGTTAAACATTAAGTTAAGGAACTAAAATTTGATCTTGTCCTTTTGAAAGGACTCATGGACGTTCAGAGCACTTCCTGTAAGCGTAATTCTCAGCTGACTTACGTATTTTTCCTCTTCTAGATGGCAGACTGCGGTGGACTGCCCCAAGTAGTTCAGGTAAGGAGATTTTTTTGAAAACACCCATTTGATTCTAGCTCTCTGCCTGTGCAGAAATTGACTAATGCCTTCTTATTTTGTCCCCATAGCCTGGGAAACTCACCGAGGCCTTCAAGTACTTTCTGCAGGGAATGGGCTACAGTGAGTAGGACACAACTTTCTATTCTAGCAAAGACTTACTGATTATGGGGTCATTTTGATATCTGGGGAGCCCACAATTCTCAGGGCATAACCTCTGTGCTAGCCAGCCTGAAATCAAGTAGACACCAGGATGTTTATGGAACATTCATCTGTGCATATGTATAAAGATGAGCCGATGCTTATTCAGCACTTCACCTTGGGCCAGGCACTCTATATTCTTAACCTTAAGAGGTAAGTTCTGTTATTCGTCCCATTTTATGGAAGAGGAAACTGAGGCTCACAGAAGCTAAGCACCTTTCCCAGGGTAACAGTTCAGCTGCAGAGCCGTGATTCAGTCTGACTCTAGAGTTGATATTTTTCAATCACTGAAGCTTAAGCAGTCTTAGCAGTGAGTCTGAAGTTATTATTTACATTTAAACTCGGCTGGTTAATAACTCCTGGCCTAGAGAAACAAAATGGAAGCTCCAGAAGAAAAGGGTAGTGTCCTCAGTTAAATCTGCTCCACCACGGGAGATGAACTTGCACAGTATTTGCGAGTGTATCCAAGGATGTGTCCGTATTGTGCTGCTGTCCTGGTCTCTTGTATTGTGAGACCCGTGAGCTTTCTCATTTGTCACAGAATATCCACATTTGCTCCTTTCTTGGAGTTGTGAAAAAAAGAAAACCCCTTTCAGCCAGGTACAGAGCTTTTTACCCAGTAGGGTGATTTTTCTCCTGTCTTTGATATCAGTGTGGATAATGACCATTGAGCAGCTGCTCTGGGCAGCAGCTGGGCCCCTGGGTACAGCCCTCTACCTGGCAGGCAGACCGTGTATGTCTCGTCTAGAGTGGCTGTGTCATCCCCGTCTGTGAGCCACTACCAGCCAAGCCCACACCCATGTCACTCTGGCTCGCTGGGAGGAGCAGAAATCTGTCTCCTTTCCTAGGAAACAGCTGATCTTCCAGCCCATTTCTGATCCAAGCAGGTTGGCTGATTATAGTGTGGGGGAAAACAGTTGCCTTTGACAATTTGAGAGAAGTAACATCCAAATAGTTCCTGAAGCATCAGTCAGCCTCACCTCTTTTCTGGGACCTTAAAATAAAACTTTATCCCTGGCTTAGAGTGCTCTGTCAGTGTCTGCTAGGCAGCCAAGGTTGCCACTTGGCACTCTCGGGTCACTAACCTGCCTTTTCCTGTGTCCATCCTGCTTCCAGTCCCGTATGTGCAGCTCAGTCACCTGAGCACCGAGTCAGGTACCTTCCTTTGTGCCGGCCCCACCCCGCCTCCCAGCCATGCTCTCCCAGCTGCACTGGCTGCCCGCAGCATGTCCGCGGTTTTCCTGTGCAGTGAGAGCCCGATAGAACGTGGCTCGTTGTGCCCCAACACGGTCAGCCTGCAGGTCCAGGAGGTCCCCCAGGAGGAATGTAACAGGCAGAGTCACAGAAGCAGCTGAACCTTTACAGGCAGAGCCCCTCTTGCATCACCACCTACTTACTGATCCTTGAGTTAACCCCCAGACACAGGATTCTAAGTCAGCCTATGCCCAGAGAACTGTGGGTGATGGCATCTTTGGGCCCCAGCATTGAAGTGACAGCTGGGGAAGTGGCTTGTGCCTTGGAAAGATAGGCAGGGAGGTATTCCAGGTAAGGCCCTGTCCTGGCCAAGCTGGAAGGACATTATGGTCAGAGCAGTGGCAGAACAGGAGTCTGAGTTAAACACCCACCCCTGGAACTCTTTCTTGCAGGCAGCCTGTACCTCACTCTCTGCGCAGAAGCCAGCTCCAGGCCCACCTGCCTGCCCCTCCTACCCCCGCACCTTCCTACACGTCTTCTCCCTGGGTAGCAAGGGTAGCCTGTGGACACGGATGGTAGTCTCGTTGTATCGGGCTGGCACTGTGTTTGTGATACACCTTCATACTTGTGTAATTTGTTTTTCTTTTGGTTTAGTCTTGCATGCACTGCAGGTTTTGGTTACCTATTTGGGTTCCCAAAGCCTCCTTCCTAATCACTGTACGAATGGCGTGGGCATAGCTAAGAGGCTATACCCTGGACTTAGGTTTCCCCTTTTTCTGCTGTGGACAAATCAGCTGAGATTCCAGTCAGATCCAGAGGATTAAAGCAGCCTTGTCTAGAGCCCCTCACCCAGAGCCAATAATGCAAAGTCGGGGTGGCTGTGTCTTGTCCTGGTGTTCCCTTAAATGGGTTGGGAAACCACACACAAGGCCTTTGGTGAAATGTCTAGATTAGCTGAGCTTAACCAGGGCTCCATCCTATAGTCCTCTTGGTTCTTTCTTACAGTCCCGTCTGCCAGCATGACCCGGCTCGCCCGCTCACGGACCCACTCCACCTCGAGCAGCATGGGCTCTGGAGAAAGTGCCTTCAGCCGGTCGGTCACCAGCAGTCAGTCAGACGGGACTCAGGAGTCCTCTGAGTCCCCTGATGTTCCAGACAGACACCAGACCATGGAGGTGTCCTGCTGAGCAGATGCTCCTGCCCTGGAGCATGCAAGTCCATCCTCCTTCCAACAACATGCCATAATTATATAACACTTCATCCAGCAAGCTGACATCTATCTTTAACTCCTGCATGGCCACTGACACTCTCTCTGATATCCTGGACCTGTCATCCTCTCTGCCTGCCCGCCCTCCTCTGTGTGTACCGAGAACCACTCCCATGCCATTACTGTCACATTCCAGCATCTTCAGCTGATCAGATCTCCACATCTTCTCTTGCTGGCTTTGCCCTCGACTTTCCCAACTAAGTAGCTGAGAGTCTTTGATCCTGATGTATGTGTGTGAGCACGCGTGTCTGTGTTTGTGTGTGCATAGTTCTGTGGTTTTAGACATGCTTTCTTGTAGAGCTTCTGCAAAACACATACAAAAAAGGGACTTTTTTTTTGCATTTTCAGTAGTGTTTTTAGGGGAAATATACAGAACAGAGTTCTAGGTTGGCTAGGCCACTGCAGTCTCTTTCAGTTCGAAATCGGTCAACAAGATTTGCAGAGTGACTTCAGGAGAGAGCAGCTCTGAGGAATGCGGAAGATCATACTTACTGTTTGGACTGTGGACGAACTGTGAGCAATAGAGGAGAGCCTGTCACATAGAGAAGCAGGCAGGGTGGCCAGCCGCCTTCTCCTTCCAATTGAATTCACTTATACTGGTCTACAAATAAAGGGGAGGGATATGTTCTGTTAGAAGCCCACGAACGATGAGGTTCTGGTGCAGTGTGGAGTTTTTCCCAAGGAGTGAATGTGGCTTAACTACTGGACTCTCTTAGCACAAGAAGGTGAAAAACAGAATTTCAGTCCTCTGCTCTTCTGTGCATAACTGTTGTCTCTGCAGCGTCTGATACCACATTCCAGATGTCCTCAGAGCCTCCTGGGGCTGAGATGAAGAGTGTTTCTCCATCCCTCAATCCCCCGAAAGGGAGAGGTGTGGCCTGAAAATTAATGTAGATAATGAGGAAATGGTTGGGGAGAGAGGAACAGACGTTAACACAGTATCATGTTTGATAAGTTTAGCCTTGATTTTGGCAGACTTAATGGACAAAAAATGAAATTGAGATAGAACACATTTCTCAGAAGGATCCTTAATCCTGTGAACTCCCTTTTGTAGGAGGGAAGGGGCCAATCTGTAAGGGAAGCCTGTCCAGGTTGAATTGTGTTCAATCTGCTGCTGTGTGAGGGGGATCACAGCCACCCAGATGGTGTCGCCCGGAGGAGGGTGAAAGCAACTGCCACACAATAGAAGGCGCAGCTTTGAGGGCATCGAGACGTCAGCTCAGGGTTACACAGTTCTGATCTTAGGAAGGGGCTTTTCAGGCGTAGCATTCGCTTTCTGCTCAGATAGGGAATGCATCACTCAGCCAGAGTACAACTTTTTACAGATTGTGAAATAAAGCTGTATATGTCTCATTGTTACCCAGTGACTGGCGCGCTTCTCTCAAGCCACTTCCTGGGGCTCAGGGAGGGACGGAGTGACTGCGCGTGGGCTCCCTGCTGGGCATACTCACCTACCTGATGATTATCCCCCCAGCGACACCGTCCATTTAAAGTGAGGAAACCAAGACTCGGGATAAATAATTTGCCCGAAGCCCTACAAATAAATCAGCTGGGATCGAACCCTGAGTCCATCTGACACACCTGTATTCTGCTCAAATCAAAGCCTGTGAGAAGCCTGACTGTGTGGTTTGTGATAGAGGAGGAGAAACCCAGGTTTGGGAAGGCGTTCCTCATCTCAGTTCTGCTCTGTGTGTGCGGTTGCGGTGTCCCACCCCTCATGTAATCTGCAACCACCTGCCAGGGTTCCTCTAACAGACCGGGCTATATTTCCCCAGAAGAGTTTGTCTTTGTAGCCTCCAAGGATAATTTCAGCAGGCCACCATCTCAGGTCAGTTTTGAATGATCCCAGAGGCTGTGGCTACCAGTACATCCAGATTGCTGTGTCTGTGGGAGATGCTGTGTCGGCCTGCCCATCCTGGTAGAGGAGAGAAAATGGATGCACCCAGGTAAATACAGGTCGTCACGCTGCGTTCCTGACCAAACAGGCCAGTACAGAGCTGTGGGTGGTCTGATGGCCACAGTTGCTCAAAGAAACACCTTGCTCCAGCCTTCTTGGCTGCACATTAGCATGGATGGTTGCCTCTTTCCCCCTTAGCTTCGTGCCTGGAGTCAGGCCCCAACTGGCTACTCCTGACTGGTCCTTGCCATACTCATTCTTTTATTTCTTTTTCTCCTATTCAGTCCAAAAGGAAATTTGGGGTGCCTGCTTTGTAAGAGGCAAGGAAGTGGCTAGGTAGATGCTACACAAGATGACTGTGTAAAGCTTTTCCATATAAGTTGTTACCCAGTTCTCATGGCAACTCTGCAAAGTGGGCAGTGCCTTTTACAGACAATAGCTGAGGACAGTTTAGTGATATGGCCAAGGAAACCTAGCTAGAAAAAGTTCCCAGTTCTTGCAAAATCAATGCATTTTCCTACTTTGCTAAACATTTTACTGAGCATTTCTGCAGGCAGGCCCTTCACCTTCCTATATGTTCCTCCTCCTGACCCAGTAAGATAGACACTATTCTAGTTTGATGGATGAGAGAACAGGCCCAGAGGTAACCAATCTACAAATGGTCACAAAACTAATAAAGCAGCAGATCTAGACTTTAAACTTTCTAATTCTCGGGTGCCTCCCTGAGTGGAACGGGAGAGGATATGGTGGGATGTTTTCTTTTTTTTTAACATTTTTTATTGATTTATAATCATTTTACAATGTTGTGTCAAATTCCAGTGTTCAGCACAATTTTTCAGGTGGGATGTTTTCTGAGACCAGAGATGGCCATTTCCTACTTCCTCATTCACGGACCCCTCCTTGAGGACAGTCTGAAGTCGGCCTGTCAAATGAAAAGATGTACGTCAGAGTGGTGTGAAGGCAGTAGCAGGAGGGTGGGCCTGTGGTCAGTTCCCTTCCAGCCACAGGCCGCATCCTTGAGCGGCCATCATCCACTCTAACATCCTGGTTAGAACTTCGTAAAGAGCTTGCGCCTCCACTCTGGCTCCCTCAGCTCTCCACACCAAGTGCTCAAGGAGTTCAACCTCAAACCAGCCCTCCCCTGGGGAAAGGGCGAACCTGAGCCCAGGTGTGCTCAAGCTGGTGAGGCCCCAGAAAAGGCTGCGTTGTCAGTGAAATCATGATTTTGTGTTAAAAGCATCTCTCTCCAGGATTGCTAAGCCCCCTAACAGGGAGATAGTGAGTGCATGTGGTTATTTAGATTCTAATAAACTGAGGTTTTATTAATTTAAACTTTAATGACTAAAGTTAAACATACCAATTAAAGGCAGTTCTGTCAGAGATTCTTTATCCCAGCTGAGTGATTCTCAAGTTTAGGGTGTGCATCAGAATCACCTGGGGGGCTTGTGAAAACAGGTTGCTGGTCCTCCATCATGGAGTTTCTGATTCAGTAGGTCTGAGATGGGGCCTGAGAATTTGCACATCTAATAAATTCCCAGAAGATGCTGGGGCTGCTGGCCTGGGGACCAGGCTTGAAGAACCACTATCCAGACCCTGCTGCACAAAGTGTGGTCCCCAGACCAGCAACATGGGCAGCGCCTGGGAGTTATCAGCAATGCAGAATCTTGAACCCCACCCAGACCCACCAAACCAGAATCTGCTGTTTCACCAGATCCCCAGAGGATTCCTATACACATGAAATGTTGGGACACATCACCCCAAGGCAGTCCTTCCCATACTTGCCAATCAAAGGAATCTCTTGGCATGTTTAAGATTCAGATTCCTGGGCTGCTCCTCTGGTTACTTGGATTCAGAAGATGTGGGAGGATCCTAGACTAACAAGCTCCTCAGGTGGTTATTATTACCTGATCACATGGCAAGCATGGGGACCCCCTTCTCATTTATTTTGGTTCTGTGTTCCTTGGATCAGACCAAGCCACAAAGCCAGGATCATGACGAGGCAGCTGCTTCTCCCCCACAAACAGGAACTTGGGGAAGGTGGCTCCTCGATGTTCTGTGGTGCCGTCAGAGGAAACGGGTGGCTGTGAGAACCACAGAGCCTGCAGATGCGAGCCGGGAGCCCCAAGGACCCTGCAACAGAGCTCAGAGAACCCTGGGCCTGCTTCCCCACCTGGCCGTGCTTGGGAAGACTGCCTAGTTGGAGGTCTCTAAGGAGCACGGGGCTTCTGTCCCATCCCAGGGGTACAGACTGCTGACCACAGGCAGGAGCAGAACTATCCAAAGCAATACTGAGAGCCTCTCCATGAAGATTCTTCCAGACTGAGAGAATTCTGGATGGCATAGGACTAAGAACTTCCAGCAGCATCCTCCCAAGGCCCTAACCTCTCCAGCTAAAGCATGCATCTTAGCCGCGCCCTCGCCCCAAGCCTCTGATGGCAGGAAACCAGTAAGTACGCTCATTTGTGTTTTTCAGTGGCCTTGGGGCTGTGAGGAAGGATGGTCCCCTAAAGACAGGGAGTGGGCTTAATGGTTGGGAAACAAGCTCAAGAAGAAGGGGAAATGGTTCCGCTGAGGCTGTGAGAAGGGTGGTTTCTGAGGGTCCTCCTCTCCCTCTTTGCCTGTCCCCTGCGGAGTAACATTGTTCCCTCCGGCTTGTCTTCATGCCCCTTCTGGTCCCATCTCAGTTACCAACTTGCTGTGTGACTTTGGGACCCTCTCTGGGCTACAGCCTTACAATGTCAGTGGATAAGATTGTATCTCTGAAGACGTGTTCAGCCCTAGAGTCTAATAGTTCCTCTCAAAAAGATGATCGACATATCTCAGTTGAAAGAGAGGGAATTCTCCCTTTAGCTCAGCCCAATTTATCACTTACCTCCACCTCTGAGAAATTATCTTCAGAAGCACAAAAGACATGGATTGTAGATCCAGCTCTGCATTAACCAGCATAGGAAAGTGAGCACGAGGTTACCCACTCTGGGCCCTGGTCATTGTACTTGAAGGGGATTCAAACCTCTCAGAGGGTCAAGTGAGAAGATCAGAACAATGTGGGCCATGTGCTGACCTCAGCTGCCTTTAACCCTTTCCTTCCACCCATGCCTGGGTCCCCTAGAAAGTGCCTAACATGTAGTTAAGTTTTTCAAATACTTACATCATTATGATTAGATTCTTTTAAAAGTTTGGGCCAATACTCCTCCTAGCCCTGCCAGCCCATGGTTTTCATTTTGCCCCCAGGAGGCTTCCCAGCCTTGACCTGACCAGGTGAAGGCAGCTGGCAGAGTGCTGGGGGGCTGCCAGCCTCAGTGCGGGGCTCTCCTCCCTCCCTCAGGCCCAGCCCCCAGTTCCACCTGCAACGGGAAGAAGTCTCTACATTAAGTGTGGTTGGTGACAGTGGTGACTTTGTCTTGCTGAAAGACGGGAAAGGAAACTGATCTTGTCAGAGAACACAGTCTGCACCAGGCTCCTCGACTTCTCCTCACAACCTTGTGGAGTCTGAATTGTCCCCAGTTCACAGATGAGACTCAGAGAAGTTACATGCTTTGCCTGAGGGCCCATAGATCGAGCTGGGTTGGTCTGAAGTAATCACTTGTGCTACCCAGGAACGATCTCTCCCAGGGATTTTCTGGACCCAGTGTCTGCACAGTTAAGCATGTAGCCTGTACCTCCTTCCCAAGGGGGAAAGGAAAGGCTGGGGAGCAGCAGGGATGTTGATAACCTGACCTGAAGGAGTCCCTAACATGGAGGAAACCAAGGAGACCTTAGGAGGTGGCAGCGCCGTCCCAGGCTGGCAAGGCTTCAGGATCCCAAAGTCTGAGCAGGAAGTGGCTGCCAGGAGCCCCCTCCTAAAGGTGGGCCTGTTTTGTATTAAAGGGCTCCTTTTCCGTGAATACTGAACAGATACCTTTATCCCCGTGTTGATGACTCAAGACTGCAGATAGCTGTTCCCCGCTCTGAGGCAGGAAGGAGCTTTACTCCTTAGACACAATGGCCAGTGAGGCCACGGGAGTCACTCCATGATCATGACAGACATCCATCCTCAGCCAGGCAAGGGGAAAGGTTCAAAGGCAAGGACGGAGCCTCCTGTGTCACCAAACTGGTGTTAATTTGCCTTGTCTCTAATGAAAAGACTGAAACCGTCTGAAAGAATGAAACCACCTCCTTGAAACATTTGAGTATGTACAGTGTTTGGAAAAATCATCCTTTCCCAGGAAACCTGGGAATTTAGAATATACTAAGGGTAAAACACCTGTCTGAAGAGCTATGATTACTTTAGTTAATGTGCATCAAGTGCCTTCTGTGGGTGAAATGCTGAGGAAATGGGCAGAGAGGTCCTTGTCCTCAACAAGCCACAGAATGACGGCTGATTAAACAAGCACTCCAATATGCAAAAAATGACAACTTGGGCAGGAGCACAGCGGAGAGCCGAGGGAGAAAAGGGAAGGCTCCCAGGAGTGGCCTCCGGTGAAGTGACATTCAGGGAGTGAAAAAGGAAAAGCAGGTCCCGACCAGGCTCTTCACATACATTATCTCTCAGACCCATATGGTGGGTACTGTTATCCCCATTTTTCAGACGAGGAAATGGAGGCAAAGAGAGGGGAAGTGGTTCAACAACCAATCCTGTAAAGCCTTGCAAGTCATCATGGTGTCATACAGTCTCCCTGGCATCTTACTTTGCTCTGTGACACCAGTAACTGTGTGCTTAATGTCACCTTCGCTTGTGAGACACCAGCTCCCGAGCCCTCTAGGATCCCCCTTGCCCACCTAGCTGTGGATCCTGGTTTGCCTGAAGTGAACTCTGTCTTGTCATTGGCCCCTGCAATCCAGGGGCAGAATGTGATCCCAGAGCCATAAGAATAGTCAGCAAGGCCTGGTGGGGGAGGGTGGGGGGGTCAGAGAATGCTTCCTGGGGAAGTGTGGGATCCAGGCGGGCCCAAAAGGAGAAAAGAACATTCTAGCCAATGGGAGGGGCTTCGAACATACAAAGGCCCAGAAACATTATGGAGGATGGTTGCAGCATAGAAGAGATGGGATGCAGAGAAAACAGGGTCTGGTTTGCAGAGAGACTTCAGAGTCTGGTGGAGGGGGCTGGAGACTGGTCCTGATGGGAGGGATCTCATTCGCTGCATCAGCAAGGAGGTCAGCAGGGCTGAGCTGGGGAGGGAGGGTGTCTGGGCACCAGGTTGGGAGCTATGGCTCTGTCCCCATTACAACATCTCTTTCAGATTTCTCTTGGCAATGTGCTTCTGAGTATTCTGCTGAAGAACGATGGGAAGTCAGCCCAGCAGGGGGAAGACCATGCTAAGCCCAGGCTCCAGCCCTTCTGTGGGAGGCCCGGGTCCTGAGCCCATGCAAGCAGGTAGGCTGTGGGCCTCGGGGCAGCCAGGCCCTTCCCAGGCACCGTGAGGCTGTGCAAATGTAGACATCGCTGCCTCTGTATACCAGGCCTTCCCTGTGAACCACACGGTCAGGCGCTCTGCTCTCGGGGAGCTTACATGTTAGTGTGAGAACACTGAACCAGATAAACTAGAAAATGTGAGAGACTGACAGGAGCTAACCAGTGGGGTGTGATGGTCCCCCTGGCATCTCCCCCGGCTTCCCTCTTCAACCAGTTTATTTGGAGACTGAGCTGCAGTTGTAAGACCAACCTACTTCCGTAGCTCTCCAAAGCTGCACTGTCTGTCGTGACAGCCACAAGCCATAAGCAGCTATTTTAATTTAAACCAAGATTAATTAAAATGTATTAAAGTTAAATAAATGTTCAGTTCCTCAGTCACTCCAGCTGTATTTTAAGTGCTCAGTAGCCATGTGCAGCTAGTGGCTACCTTCTTGGACAGCACAATTAAAGAACATTACCATCATCACAGAAAGTTCTGTTGGACAGTGATGCTCTGAAGTCTCCTCTTATCCTGAGAGGTGCTGTGAAATACTTGAAGCAAAGTTAGAGCTATGGTGGTTGGAAAAACTGAGTTCATACAATGCACAGGCTAAATCTATAACTGGAAACTTTCTAAGGTAGTCCTGACTAAAAATGCCAGTTTTTAAGGACATTTAGGCAATCAAAATATCCTGCAAATTCTAATATTTTGATGTCAAAACAGTCCACAAATCCTTTCTCAAATCACATTGTGATTTGGGGTTTTGCTAATGTATTGGTCAGGGTTCTCCAGAGAAACAGAACCAATAGGGTATGTGTGGGCGCGTGTATAGGAAATTGGCCCATGCAATTGTGGGCAATGGCAAGTCTGAAATCTGCAGGGCAGGCCAGCAGACTGGAGACCCAGAGAAGAGCTAATACTGTGAAATTCCAGAGCTGAGGCTGGAGGGGGATTCCCTCTTCCTCAAAGGACCTGTCTTTTTCTCTTAAGGGTATCAACTAATTGAATGAGGTCCACCCACTTTACGGAGGGTCATCTGTCTTATTCAAGGACTACTGATTTCAATGTTAATCTCATCTAAAAAATAGTATCACATTAACATCCAGACTGGTGTTTGACCAGATATCTGGGTACTGTGGGCTAGCCACGTTGACACATAAAATTAACCATCACAGATAACAAGATTACTCTAAACCAAGCAGCACTTTTTAGGAGGAAAGACATGGCCACACACTGAAGCAGAACTAGAAGGCTGCAGAGCCAAATATCCTGATGTCTGTGTTTGGCAGGAGCTGTCCCCAGTCTGAAAACTCCTCCGCAATAGCTGGGGCTTCTTTCCCACTCAGCCCCCACCCCGGAAATCTGCATCTCCCAATACCAGCCTCCCCCAGGCCCCACAGTCATTGACACCCTCAGCCCCTGCTAGACTCCTGCTGGAGAGGCATCTGTCTCCTTTTAGCAACTCAGTTTGCACTGAGAGCCTGGGGCCCACCTGCAGGAAGAGATCTGGAAACCACACAGACCTCTACCACGTTTCCTCTGAATCTAGCCACAGGCAGCAGCCTGAGGCGGCTCTGAGTCATGCCCAGGCTGCTGAGAGGGATGGCCCCACCCCCACCGCAGCAGGTGTCCTGGGGCCCTCCCTGCCTGTGGGAACTGAGGGGAGCTGTGTTCCCCTCTGCCAGGGTCTCCATGGAAAGGATGGGGCTCTCTCAGTAGTTCTACCGCTGGTCCCAGCAGGGATATGGATTTGGGGCAGCTCCTTTGTCCATCAGCCTTGTACCCATCCATAATCTTCCAAAGCTCTGCCTTGTGCCAGGACCAGGGGACACAGCAGTGGACAAGACAGGCACAGCCCGTCTTCAGGGACAATCAAGACCCAAAGACAGGTAGTTAATTACAACCAGTAGTCAATTAAAATTGTGTTAGATTTTGGTGATGGTGTTTAAAAGGACTGACCGAGAGTGTGTGCTGAGGGGCTTGTCACAGGAGGGACATTTCATCCAGGGGGTGAAGGATGAAGGTGACTCAGCCACCAGAGAGGACCAGTCAGAGGAGAGCATATGCAGCTCAGTGGCTCCTAGAGGTGAAAGGCCAGGGCTTCCAGGAGGCGGAGGGGCCCATCTGGCCACCTGGTTCCATCCTTGTTGGAGGACACCACGACCCTTGACTTGCTTGTACCGTGTATTTGGGCATCAGGCATTTCCTTGCTCCATGGGATGGCTAGGCCCTGGGCTCTGAGGAGCTCCAGTCTGGGTCACCACAGGGATCTCCATGTGTGTCTATGAGAACACGTAGGAACTGGTCCATTTCCAGGATCACAGTCGCATTCTGCCCATGTCCCACTAAAGCAGAGGCCCTCAGCCCACATAGTGTCCAGCTCTGTGTCTGCCCCACACATCCCCTAGGTCCTTGTCTGTCCACCTGCTCTCCCTCCCCAACCTCCTGGGGCCCCAGCACTGTCTAGAGGGACTTGGGGAGGCCTCTTAGGCCCTGAGGAGCATTTATGAGACATACAAACCTTTCTTGCTGAGCTTGTATGCTTCTCATAGCTTAATGCAGAGACCCCTACTGAGATGGGAAAGGAGGAAGGGAAAGGAGGGTGCTGGGGTGTGGGTGATGTGCTCGCAGCCCATGGAGGACAGGTTTTTCAGGACAAGTAGGCCTAGGCAGTCATCAGGAGGTCTGGTGAGGCTGGGCGAGCTGATTCTTGAGTAGGGGTTGGGGGTGAGCCTCCTGTGCTGAGGGAGCCGCTTGCCGCCTGTTGGTCAACCTCAAAATTAGGCCTCATGCCCACCATGTTTTCAGGACCAGTTCTGGTGTGATGGTGCAGCTGGGGGGCAGCCTGGAGGGTCCTTGTAAATCCTGAATGAGCAGTTCCCAGGGCTTTGGCCCTTCTGAGAGGGGCCCCCTCGCCTTTGTCTCTCCAGAGTCTCTGGAGGGGTACTTGGCGTCCTCTGTCTCAGTGACTCCCTCTCTGAACATCAGCCTCCTGGGGAGCCTGGGCCCTTTTTGGAGATGTGCTGCTGTCCAGCCCAGTCCCCTCACCCTGGGCCCCTGATCAGCCATGGTGGTCACCTACCCCAACAGTGCCCCGTGGTAGGAGAGGGACATGCTGATGTGGTGTAGGAGCTGTGCCCTCCCTCCCCAGTGGAGTGCCCAGCTGAGCTTTGGTTGCTTTGCTGTGCAATGGGGCTGAATAGAGATGACGCATACAGCACCCAGTCAGGGCCTGACACACAGCAGATGCTCAGAAAGAGATGGCAGGTGTGTGACCAGGACACTTGACTGGGCCACACACTCCTGCTGGGTGTCTGCTCTGGGTCAGGCCTGGCACAGTGAGCCCTGGGGCTGCAGCTCTTCTTAGGGGGCAGCACAGACCTACACCTGCCGCTCTGGACGAAGGCCATGGGAGAGCCACTCTGCCCACGTGCACGGCACTCCAGAGTAACAAAGCCCATCCTCGTCGGTGATTTCCTGGGCCCTCCAGGAGCCCTCCTCCCATGTCCTCCTCCCAGGCCCTCGAAGCTGGTTCATCTGGTACCCATCTCATCAGTGCCTTTCAGAAGTTGAGCTCAGAGATCTGGGCTGATTCCTGCTTAGAGTGGGCAGTTTTAAGTTTGCTGAACAACAGAATTCCTTCATCAAAATCTCCTGTGGAGATCTGTATGTAAAAGGGGATTGTAGCGAGGAGTCCCACTCTTCTTGTCTCACCAACCCTTTCCCTGAGGAGACCCCAAGTGATGTCTGGGCACCCCCAGGGCTCTGCAGCATCCTGTGGAAAAGTGTCAGATTCCAGGTTGCCATCCCAGAATCCCAGCAGACATGCCCTAGGGCGCCTGTGGGAGGACTGATGGCAAAAACCCAGACTACACTGGAGCTTGCGTCTGGCCAGAGGGTAACCATCTCTGTCCTTCTGTGCAGAGAGAAGCAAGGCCACCGCTGTGGCCTTGAGCAGTTTCCCGGTAGGCCAGCAGGCAGAGCTGTCGCTGAGGCTGGGGGAGCCACTGACCATCGTCTCTGAGTAAGTCTTCCAAGGGCACTCCATGAGGTGCTCTGCTCCCTCCTCCGATACCTGAAGATGCATTAATGGGAGGAGGCCCCTTCCAGGAGAAAAGAACATGGCCTTTGGTGCCAAGCTCACACATGGCCCTAATGGTGGGATTTTAGGCAACCTGATACACTTGCAGGGAGAAGCAGTGAGTGGCAAGGCCTTGCAAGGGAGCCTTGAATTTTGCCATCCACTGCCCAGGAGGTGCCCAGACCACCTAGTGCAAGGGAACCTGGGAAATGCAAATGGGACAAGTGGGCACAGGACCCAGCCTTGAGGGTCCTTGTGAATCCTGAATGAGCAGTTCCCAGGGCTTTGGCCCTTCTGAGAGGGGCCCCCTCGCCTTTCTCTCTCCAGGGATGGAGACTGGTTTACGGTGCTGTCGGAAGTCTCAGGCAGAGAGTTCAGCATCCCCAGCATCCACGTGGCCAAAATCTCCCACGGGTGAGTTCACACCTCAGGCCCTGCCTCGGGGGAGCTTCTTGCCCTCTCCTCGCACAAGGTTGTCCTTTATGCCCAGTCCTGTGCTGAGCAAAGCTGAGGAAGGGAGAGACTCAGGCCCAGACCTGCCTTCTGGAGCAGACAACTCTCTCTCTCAAGATGACCCACGAGATGTGGGAGCCCAGAGGAGGGGGCTCAGGAAGGCCTTGTGGAGATGTGGTGCCTGGGCTTTGGAGGGTGGCCAGGAAGCTGGCTGGGGAGGAGGCTGACGGGGACTTGCCGGAAGTGGAAGCAGCCTGCAGAGTGTCCCGGGGAGCCTCCCTGGGCTGCCCTTCCAAGAGGCACCTCCCCCGGGAGGGCTGGACGCTGGGACACAGGGTCTCTTACAAAGTGTGCATCATTCTTGCCAAGAGTAAGTGACAAACTGACTCCAGAGCAAACTCTATGTTGAGGGGGAAGGCCAGTGAATAACTCGGAGCCAGGAATGCGTCACTGTGTGTGCCGTGACGGCCACTTTTCCGTTCTGAGAAAAAAGCACAGCTCCCACACTGGATGGCCTTTCTTTTCTGAGGCTCACGGTATGCCAGCTCTGATGATCCTGACAGGATCCTGAGAAGTGTGGACAACTCGTAGAATCAGCTCGCAGAGGCTGTGTGAAGCCCACCTCGCCGTGCGTTTCCCAATGGCCTGGGCCCGCGGAGCAGAGTTCTGCATCCACAGCACGGCACTGGAGTTTATGCCAAGGACACACTGACCACCTCCAAGAGTCCCCTTTCCTTGACACTGATTCATTTATATCCTCAGCTTCCATAAGTCATATGAATGACATGCTTTATTTACTATAAAACTGGGCTAAGTTTGCCACTGGCACCAAGAGAGTCACAGCTTCTCTAATTTATTTTCTTAGAATCAACTCAACCCTGATTCTGGCTTTGACTGTGGAATGTCACAAAATGACAGAGAGGCAGCCATTTCCATCAAATTGGCTTCTGGAGGCTTTGCCTGGGACCGCAGGGCATGCCTTGGGGACATTAGAAGGTTGATGGACTAGTAAGCCAAAAAATTATCTTTTTCTGAAATTTTAGAATGCCTTGAGCATTCTGGTTGCAAACTTTCTACCCATAAATAAGCCCAGGTGGGAATTAGATTTCAGTGACAATGAATAAATGTTTACCTGTATTCCTTTTGGCGACAAAGTTAAACTTTAAACTGTTGAAATAAAATATTTGCTAACATTAAAAAAAAATAGGGGCAATTCTTGGAGAGGTGACAGTTTGGAAAGGTAGTGGATAGCATATGGGTGCTGGAGGAACTGGCAGTGACAGGAGAGAGTCTGGGGTCACTTAACCTGCCCCCAGGCCCTGGCCACTTGGGAATGAGGTCTCCAATTAGAAAAGGCTGAGGCTGACCCCATGAGACTGTCCTCTGAGGCCCCTAGAGCCAAAACCGGGACAAAGGTGGGAGGCCTGACAGACCCCAATGTCAGCTTCATGGGGCTGGAACTTTGAGGCCCAGAGAGGGGAGGAGATGTTCCTGTAGAGTTGTAGCCCACCCAGCCCCAGGCTGACCCTGTCCCTCCCTCTGCTCCTCCCCCAGGTGGCTGTATGAGGGCCTGAGCCGGGAGAAAGCAGAGGAACTGCTGCTGCTGCCTGGAAACCCCGGAGGGGCCTTCCTGATCCGGGAGAGCCAGACCAGGAGAGGTGGGTAAGCTCAGCCCAGCTCTGGGCTTGTCCCTTTAATGCCAAGAGCAGGGTGACCTAGGGGCAGAGATAGAAGGCCAAACGTGAAGGGCTGAAGACCTGGCCTTGGAGTCAGGCAGTCTGGCTGGCTGACTACCATGTTGCTGCCAGGAGGGCCCATCAACAACACGGCAATAACCTCCATTTCTAAAAGTGAGTGTGGATTGCTCACAAGAGGGGTAGGGACATCTACACTGATTGCACATTCATGTGGGACTTCTCCCACGCCAGGAGCAGGGCCTTTGCAAACAAAACCTGAAGTTGAGAGAGTCTGTCTCTGATGCCCTTGCCTCCCTCTGAGCTGCCGCCCTGAGTCCCTTACAGCAGGGGCAGAGAAGGACGTTGAAGGAGTGGCAGTGCCCACATTTATGTTAGGTCCTTTAAATGCCTTCAAACAGTGCTTTGGGGATTGTACTTTCATGATCCCCATTTTACAGATGAGGAAACGATTTGCCTGGGGTTGGGGGGACGCAGATAGTAAGTTCAGAGCTGGGATTCAAAGCCAGGTGAGGTTTGTCCACTTCAGACACCCAAGAAAGGCCCACATGTGACAGTAATGGTGGAATTGCAAGCACAGTGGCAGGCTACGAAGGAGATATTCAGGAATGAGGATGGGCCTCCTGTGCTTGCCCTAAATTGAACACTGATGGATGGGTTGTCAGGGTCCTTTGCTCTCTGCTCAGTCTCCCTCCTGGAGCGCCTTCCAGTGCATCTTTCCTCTCCTTCCCTTCCTTTGGGAGTTCCCCACGTTGACCTCTTCCCAGCCTCTCCTGCTGTTTTCCAGGCAGCATCAGCATCCCAACCCTCTTATGCACCCATACACTGGCCGAGGTCGGTTGGGCTGACTCAATACAGCAGCTACAAACAGGAAACCATAGTGGTGCTGCTGGGGCCAGGGGTGCTGCAGACCGGCCCCAGTGAGCTTGAGAAGCTACAGGAAGTGCTCCATGCTTAGTGGCCCCACCCCTGCCCCTTCTGGCCTGGTTCAACCCCAAGAACATAGTGACCAGAATTTGTGGCCACTGTTCCCCTTTCCTAAGAAGACACATATACAAGAGGAACTGGCTGAGAAATAAAGGAGGGAGCAGATAACAATCCATAGGATCTTTTTTTCCCCCTCCAGTTTTATTGAGGTATAATTGATACACAGCACTATATACATTTAAGGTATAAAGAATGCACGGGATCTTTAAGGAGCCACACATTTACCAGGATTAAGGCTAGATTTGACTCTAAGCCTCCCCCCAGCAACACCAAAAGGAGATAGATCATAATGCAGCTGTTTATCAAAAAATGAAGGTATTTGCCAATTCTACAGCAAAGGCAATGGTTTCCCAATACTAATAACTATAATCTCTCCTCTGGTGCTTCCTTTTGGATAGTGTTTGTCAAGCTATAGGTCATGATCCATTTGTGGGCCAAGAAATCAGTTTATTTCAGCGGTAATAGACCAGTGAGTATCAAACCTAGGCAGGCATCAGAATCACTTTGAGGGCTTATTAAAACAAAGAGCTGGCCCAGCATTTCTGAGTTGTTAGGTCTGGGGCCTGAGAATTTGCCTTTCCAACAGGTTCACAGGTGATGCTTGCTGCTGCTAATCTGGGGACCACACTTTAAGAACAGCTGATCTAGACCATAGCTGCATGTTGGAATCATCTGGGGGAGATTTATAAATTACTGACGCCTACACCCTACCTCCCAGAATTTCTGATTTAATTGGTCAGGGGTGTGGCCTGGGCCTTGGAAGCTATAACAACCCCCCAGGTGATTCTAATGTGTAGCTCAGGTTGGGACCCATTAATTTAGTGGGTCTGGACCAGTGAGTATTTAAAGTGAAATACAACAGAAAACATTAGGGTGCATCACTGGGGTTAAGGAAAATACTGCTTCATCAAACTTTTGTTTTAGATCACTTCAAGTGCGTCCTGGGTCACAGTGTAAAATTTCATATTGTGGTTTGTGGTCAAAAAAAGCTTGACACTGAAGCGGTAGGGGCCCGAGTGACGCCACAGAATGGTGGTTCTCAGACTTGAGTGTACAGGAATTGTCAGTGGAACATCTCAACAATGCAGGCTCGTAGACCCACCTCAGACCTACCAAATCAGACTACTGGGCACAGAGTCAGAAACCTGCTTCATTCACAAGCTCTCTGGCTGGTTCTCATCTTAAGTTTGAAAATACAGTTCCAAAGTAAGGAACACAAAATTAAGTAATGAGAGATTTTTTTTTATGTTTACCTAATGCATCTTGTCATATATAACAGTAATTAACTGTTGACTGAGTGATACAAGGATCAACTTTTCTTTGGTCCAAAATCCATACCTACCTCTGGAAAGGGAATCCTGCAGGGGCTTTGAGCTTATGTGTGCACCAAGGAGGAAGGCCTGGGGCCACTGAGCTCCCAAGAACGCTACATAGAGTCTGGAGGGGAGGGGAAGGCCCCCATCTTCCACAGAATCCCTCTGGCATGCCTGGTTTTGTTCTAGGCCTGGGTGGGGAGCATGGCAGGGCCAAAGTCAGGCCGAAAACCTTGCCCTGTGATGGGGCATGAGGAGTTTGTGGAGTTCCCAGGACTGCTCTAGAGGTCAGTGCCAGGGCCAGCCCCCAATAGCATCACTCCCTTGTTTTCCTGCTGTCCTACTATGTGTCTGTTCTGTGTGGGGCACTGTAAAAGAGACTGATGAGCAAGACATGCTTCCTGCCCCTGAGGGGCTCACCTCTGTCCATTCTGTCAGCTGAAAAACAGTTATTAAGCATCTCCTCTGATTCTGGCCTGCTAAGCTGTGGTTCCTGTCCTCAGGCTGCAGACAGTGGAGAGTCCAGGGTGCAGTATCCTTGAAGCTATCAGCTTCTCAGAGGCCTCAGTAGAGGAAGTTCAGGAGGGTCCTATTAGGTCTACCTCCCATACGTGGCTTTTAATCTGATCCCTCACACTACTGTGTACCCCACCTCTCCTCCTGGCATCATCATAACACCTGGGAAAACATGGTGCCTGACCCCATAGGTTACTGCAGGCCAGGATGTGCAATTGGCTAAGCCTGCCGGAGCTTTCTGGAATCTGGGACCTTGTATCTCTCCCAGTGGGTCTCCCTTCAGGCCTTGCACACAGCCATGGTTCCCACCACTCCCTCCCACAGCCTGCCTTCTGGCCTGTTGCCCACCAGAACACTTGATGAATGAACACACCTTGTTCTTTCCACTGTTACATCCTTGCACAAGAGCCTCCCTCAGCCTGGAAAGCCCTCTCCTCCATTCCTCCACTTGGCCAACTCACACTCATTCTTTATGACCCGTTGCAATGTCATCCCCCCAGGTTATTTGTCACTGTTTTGTTTGCTTTCAACTCCCACAGCATCTTGAAAATACCTCTTCTGTAGATGCAATAAACTTACTTCTTAAAGTCAAGGTATGTGAGCATAGGAATTAAATACCTGAAATGAGGACCATAAAGGAAAATTCTGGCTGAGGGATAGCACTTCTTTCCCCAGAAGAAGATCTGATTACCCGTGTCTGGGGTTTGTGCAGTGCCAGCTTGTAGTAAGTGCTCAAATGGTATTTCCTGTATCAGTGAACGAGCTCACTTGTACGTTGAGGGGAGGGACGAGGATGAAGAGCTGGGGTAGGGTTGACTGCCCTCCAGCACCATCTGTGCTCACACTGGTAGAAGTGCAAATGGTGGCAAGGACTCCTCAAGACTGCCTGAAATCATGGCTCTGTTCAGTGTTTATCACAGAGATTCATTAATTCATTCAACAAATCGATACTGCATGGCAACTCTGTGCCAGCACCCGTTCTAAGCACTGGGGAGTCAACAGTGTAAAAAGTAAGATCCCTGCCCACACTCTAGTTGGCAACATGGACAGTGAACAAATTAAGCATCTGATGATGGCAAGTGCCACAAGGAAACAATAAAGCAGCATTAAGAGGAACAGAGTAAGCAGGTGCATCCTCAGCAGGAGGCAGATGTGCCTGGAGCAGATCCAAGGTCATCATAAGTCAGGTCTGCAGGGCCTTTCCAGGGTGAGCTCTTGTGTCAGGGAGGGTTCTGAGTAGGGCAGTGACATGACTTGATCCCTCTGCTGTGCAAAGAGAGGATTTGGCTGTGGGTAAGGCGGAAGTGGGAAGCCACATGGGAAGTTGTTGTAGGGTGAGAAGTGGTCGGATTCCGGATATATTCTGAATGTAGCCAGTAGGGTTTTCTGTGGGGCTATATGGGAGGTGGGAGAGAATGGGAAGCAGTCAGAGATGATTCTGGGGTTAGAAGCTTCGTAATGGATGAATTGTGCTGCTGTTTTCTGAGATGGAAAGATGGTAGGCAGGTAAATTAGAACCATCCCTTGTGAGGCTCACAGGTGGTTATATGAGGGGTTGGGGGGGTAGTGTTGAGGAACAGATGATGGGAGAACAGGACCTTTGGTACTAGCACTTGTGTCTGGGCAAGCCTAGAGCTGAGGCTTCTCCAGGCAGAGAGAGTGCTCTGGAGAGGAGTTGTCTGAGCAGGACGGAGTTGTAAAAGGAAGGCTGGTGGTTACTCAGGCAGAAGAGTCTTCCACATAAAAGGAATAATGTTAGCAAAGGATCAGAGGCCCGATAAAGATTATTGAGTGCTTGCTCCATGCCAGACATGTTAAATGCATTACCTGCTTCACCATCTGAATCATTGGGCTCAATCTACTGAGACTGGGACAATGATTATCCCCCTTTACAGATGAAGAAACAGATCTGAGAAGTCACATAACATGCCTTAGAGACACAGCTAGGGATATAGTATGTAAGGATGTCGTAGTATATAGTTTACGTGGGATTTGAACCCAGGGAGTCTGATTTTGAAAGGAGATGTCCTGGAACTGGAAGATAGCAGTAGATATTTGGGACTGGCTGGAGCATGCAGTGAGAAGGAACAGCAGGATACCAGTCACAGATGGCCTTGGTAGGTGACCTGTCCCTACAATAGGGTAGACAACCCCACATGGGGTTCACAGATCTCTGAGTCTAGCAGTCAGTACAACTATGAGGACACTTCCTGGTTCTACTAACTACGGGGACTGTGGCCAGGATGTGGTGGCTGAAGAACCATGCAGAAGATAGAGGGACTCGGTCAGTTTGTTCAGCTGGTTGGTTGGCCAAAAGGCCTATTTTCAGATATGTAGCCCTTTCTCAAACTCAGAGCTTTTTTTAGGGTCACAGCACAGCTCTAGAAGAGATTCTTAAAGGTACAGAGGTCAAGGGGTCTCCAGAGTTAGGCAGAAAACAAGGAAAAGGAGGCAGGGACCTTGCCCTATATATACTTCTCTAAGTATTTTGACTTTGTATCCTGTAGCCTTGCTAAATTCACTTGTTCTAGCTTTTCTTGTAGATTCCTTAGGAATCTCTACATATATGATCACATTATCTATAAATATAGTTTAACTGCTTATTTTCCAATTCATATACCTTTTTTTCCCCTTGTCTTCGTACTCTGGCTAGGACCTCTAGTTTAACAAGTGGAGTGGTAAGAACATTCTTGCTTTATTCTTAATTTTAGAAGGAAAAACTCAGTCTTTCCCATTAAGTATAATGTTACTTGTAGATTTTTCACAGATGCTCTATGTCAGGTTGAGAGGAAGGCTGTGGTTGGCTGAATAGCTCAATGATGTCCAGGTCCTAATCCCTGAAGCCTGTGATTATGAATTACCTTACATTGCAAAAGAGTTTCTATATGTGATTAAGGATTTTGAGATGGGGAGATTATGGTGGATTGTCCAGATGAGCTCAATGAAATCACAAAGGTCTTTACAAGAGAGAGGTAAGAGAGTAAGAATTTGAGAGAGACTGGAAAATATTATGCGCTGGCTTTGAAGATGCAGAAAGGGGCCGTGAGCTAAGGAATGCAGATGGCTTCTAGAAACTAGAAAGGCAAAGAAATGGATTCTCCTCTACAGCCTGCAAAAGAAATATAGACCTGCTGATACCTTGATTTTAGTTTAGTGAAACCCATTTCAGACTTACGACCTCCATAATTATAATACATTTGCGTTGTTTTAAGCCACTAAATTTGTGGTAATTTGTTACAGCAGCAATAGGAAACTATTATACCTTCTGTTTGTAGTTTTTATTATTATTTTAAAAATAATGATGAGTGTTGAATTTCGTCAAATTATTTTTCTACATTTCTTCAGGTGATTGTTTTTTTTTCCCTTTATTCTACTAATATAGTGAGTTACATTGATGTTCAATTTTTAAATCAGCCCGTATTCCTGGGATAAAGCCAATTTAGTTATAATGTATTATCTTTTTTTATATAGTGTTAGATTCAACTTGCTAATTGTGTGTTAAGGATTTTTTGTATTTATATACGAGGGATATTGGTCTATAGTTTTCTCATAATGTTTTTGTTTGGTTTTTATACCAGGTTAACGCAGGCCTCATACAATGGAGGAGGAAATGTTCACTTCTCTTTTCTTAAAGAGTTTGTGTAAAATTGTATTATTTCTTCTTTAAATGTCTGATAGAACTCACTAGTGAATCCATCTGGACCCAGAGTCATTTTTGTGGGAAGTTTAAAAGTTATTTATTTGATTTCTGCAGTAGATGTAGGGCTATTCAAATTTACTATTTCTTGTTTCAGTTTTGGTAATTTGTCTTTTAAGGGATTTGTCCATTTCACCCAAGTTGTAGAATTTATTGGCATAAAGTTGTCCACACTATGCTCTTATTATCCTTTTGATGTGTGCAGGATCCGTAGTGATGTCCCCAGTTCATTCCTTATATTATTAATTTGTTTGTTCTTTTTTCTTTCTTGATTAGTCTAATTTGAGGTTTATGAATTTTATCTATCCTTTCAAAGAATCAGTATTTGGTTTAATTGGTTTTTCTCTATTGTTTTATAGTTCATTAATTTTTGCTTTATCTTTATTTTCTTCTACTTATTTTTCCAGCTTCTTAAAGTGGAAGCTTATTTTATTTTATGCTGTTATTTTCTTCAAATGTAAGACAAAGTTTTAAGTCCTGATTTAGCTGAGCTTACAAATTTTTATTATTTAGTTAAAAATATTTTCTAATTTTGCTTGTGCTTTCTTCGTTTCCTGGGTTATTTCCAAGTATTGGGTGATTTTTTTCAGATATCTTTTTGTTATTAATTTATAATTTAATTCTGTTGTGGTCAGAAAACATACCTTTATTTCAACCCTTTAAAATTTGTTTTTATGGCCCAGTCTATAGTCTACCTTGAATATTCTATGTGTATTTATTGGGCACAATGTTTACACTAATTAAGTCAAGTTGGTTGATTGTGTTGTTCAGGTATTCTATGTCCCTATTGATTTTCTGTCCCATTAAGTACTGAGAGAGGAGTGTTGAAATCTCCAATTATAATTATGGACAACTATTTCTTAATACTGTCGCTTCACTTCTGTATTTTGAATCTCTGTAATTAGATGCATGCAAGTTCAGGATATGCTCTTATCTCTGGTGATACTCTTAGTCTTGAATTCTACTTTTCTGATATTAATATAATCACCCCAGCTTTCCTGATTAATGTTTGCATGATACATATTTTTCCATCTTTTTGCTTTTAGCCTGTGTTTTAATATCCAAAGCATGCTTACTATGTCATTGGGTCTCACTTTTTCACATCCAGTTTGAAAGTCTTTGCTTGTTTGCTTTGGGAGGAGGTAGTTAGGTTCATTTATTTAAATTAAGTACTGGGGACTGAACCGAGGACCTTGTGCATGCTAAGCTTGTCCTCTACCACTGAGCTATACCCTCCCCTGAAAATCCTTGCCTTTTAATTGGAGTGTTTAGACTGCTTCCTCAAAAGTAAAAGCTTCCTAAAACTGAGTAGTGCCTGTGGTTTGGGAAATTCACTCCTGCATTTTGTTGGCATTCCACAGGAAAAGGTTAAGTGACAGGGTCACTGCCTCTTCTCCCAGGTTCTCCTTGCAACAGTTTTCTCATCTGTAAAGTGGGGATAATTGTACCTACTTCATAGGTAATTCTCATTGTGATGAGATAATCCATACAAAAAAGCACATAGGAACACTCAGTAAATGAAAGCTACAGATAGCTTTACATCATTAGGTGATAGTAATAATCTATTATTACTATTATTTCACTAAGCACCCTATTCCCATTTGGCTTTGATGAAGTGTTGACCTAAGAAACGAATCCCACTTTACAGCTAAAGAGCGCTCATATGCATCTCATCTGCCGAAAACTGCTATTGGAGGCCTGTTTATTATTTTGTATAGTCTTTTTTTCTCTACTTTTCAACCATGTGCTTTTCCTCTTCTAGCCAGTTCTCTTTTTTAATTGAAATTTTTGTTGAAACCTATCAAACTGTACACTTTAAACATGTGCATTATATATAAATTTTACCTCAATAAAGTTGACTTAAAAACAAAACTGGGGAAATTCACAAGCATCAGTTTTATAATACAAATGGATAGGTTAAAGACTAATAATAAAATCAACACCCATAAGCCCACTTACCGGCTTAAATTGTACAACAGTCCCTTTGAAGTCCCTTGTGTGCTTCACTGTTACCCAGTTATTTTTCTTCAGTTTTGCCATACACGCATCCCTATGCAATAATACAGTCTTGGCTGCCTTTGGATCTCATTTAAATAGAATCATGCTGAATGTATGCTTCTGTGACTTGCTGTTTCTGCTTATTATTTTAAAGATTTATCTCTTCTTACGTGTTGTGGTTATTAACTTTTACTGCTGTATATAGTGCTATAGTCTAGAACCTACCAATCTTCAGTGCATACGGACTGTTAGCAGTTTTAGGCTTTTCTTAACAATGCTGCTGTGGATGTTTTTGTTTGTGTAGTTGTAAGGTATGCTGGGACAGAAGTGCTGGGTTGTGAGGCATGGGCACCTAACTCAACTAGTTAAGGCCAGTTGTTTCCACAGTGGCTTGTATTAATTTATCTTTCCATCTGCAGGGTAACGAGTTCCTCTTTCTTCATGTCCTTACTGACATCTACTGACACAATTTCACATTCTAACACTTCCGCCAACTTGAGTCTTTGTAACAGCCAACACTTAATGTTCACTTAGACTGTGACAGGCCCTGTTCTGAGCACTCTGCATGCATGATCTCATTTCATCCTCACAAGAGCCCTATCTATTATGATTGTGTTGTCATTTATGACCAAGAGACCAAGTCTCTGTCCCTCCCTGCCACTTTCCCTTCTCTCTAGGCCTAGTGACCACTCTCTGTGACCATCTCATGTCTTCCTTCTCCCATCCTGGGCTGGGCTGGGTCCCAGCAGGGCCTTAATTCCACCCTGGACTCTTTCCTCCTCAGGCTGTTACTCCCTGTCGGTCCGCCTCAGCCGCCCTGCATCCTGGGACCGCATCAGACACTACAGGATCCAGCGCCTTGACAATGGCTGGCTGTACATCTCACCGCGCCTCACTTTTCCCTCGCTCCAGGCCCTGGTGGACCACTACTCTGGTATGGTCATTCCCTGCCTCCATGAGAGTAGACCAGGATGTGGTGTCTCTGTGGGCAGTTAGTCATACCCTTGGACACTTTACCTGCTGGAGACTATCCAAATTACGAGAGACCTCCCCTTTCTTCATGCCAGTCCCTGTGCCAAGAAATGCAGCCTGGGAGCCCCAACATCACCTCATGCCAACAGAGCCACATGGATGTTCCATGTGACTGTATGCCAGTACTTCACCTACCACTGTGGTTCTGAGTTAAAGTCCCCAGTGGCTGACACAGTTCTCTCCACAGGAACTAGGCCCAGAGCTGTTGCTGTTGTGGAATTCAGTTAACACTTAGCATTCTCTGGTGCCTATCTGTAACGGGCCCTGGAGGATGTAGCCACTACAGCGATGTCAAAAGGCAGAGAGGAAAGACCACTACTCATCAGGGGTTTTCTGGACTGTCATTCCATACAGCAGATACTGACAGAACAAGTAGAGACTGGTCATGCCTTAGCTTTCTTCTTCCCAAAGCACCTTCCTAACCAGAAACTGGGACTTAGAGAGGTCTATCAAAACTTACCCAAAATAACACAGTAAATTAAGTTTCCCCAAACCTAGCCCAGAATGACCTTTAACTGCATCTTAACCTCCAGATTAACAGCTTAGGGCTCACACTCCCACCTGCCAAGTGTGGAAAGCTGTTAGGGTAAAGGTGGGGTTGTTGGGCAGGAAAGCAGGGCTGGAGTCAGCCATGTCAAGGGTCTTGGTCTCTTCCACAGAGCTGGCAGATGACATCTGCTGCCTCCTCAAGGAGCCCTGTGCCCTGCGGAGGGCTGGCCCACTCCCTGGCAAGGCCATACCCCTACCTGTGACTGTGCAGAGGACACCACTCAACTGGGAAGAGCTGGACAGGTGAGGGGCCCCTGGAATGTGAAGATGGAACAAAGGAGAGTTAGAAGTACCCACCCCTGGGGACTCGGAATGGGCTTGTCACTTTCAGGGACATCTGGGAGCCAATGAGCACTCACTGAACTCATAAAGGCTAGCCCAGGCTCAGCAGGTCTGCAGGGGGGACTAGCAGGGAGGCAAAAGTGGGCATGGATATAGAGCATGCCTGGGCACCAAGGTGGCCGGGATGGAAGGAAGGTCAGACAAGATGGAGTACAACAGAGAGCACCAGTCCTGAGTGAAGTCAAGCAGGGGTTTGATCTCATAAGGAACAGGGAACCACTGAGTTTTTTCAGCAGGTTTTGAGAACACGGAACTGTGTGGTAAGTGCAGGGAGGAGCATGAGGCTCCCTGACCCAACTCTTTTCCCCTCTCCACAGCTCCCTCCTGTTTTCTGAAGCATCTGCCACAGGAGAGGAGTCCCTCCTCAGTGAGGGGCTCCGGGAGGCCCTTAGTTCCTACCTCAGCCTGACTGATGACATCTCCTTGGACGATGCCAAGGACCGAAGCAGAGGCCGAAAGGGGAACCAAGGCTGTAGCACCTAGAACCCTAACTCAGCCCAGCCTGACTGAGCACCCCAGAGGCAAGGCTGCACACTGAGTGAGGGGAGGGCTGGACATGGACACACCCCAGGTCCACCTGTATCCTCTGTTCCTTGCTCTCTCAGCCATAAGAAATCACTTAACCTCCTCCCAGTGCCATGACCCTGCCTACAACCTCTAGTTCAAGTACAGGCCAGTTAAGAACAGGGTCAGGGCTCCAAAAAGAGACTAAACCTCTGGGGTCTGACCCAGTCAGTTCCTAAGTTTGAGATTTCCAATACCATCTTCCACCCCTTGCCTAAGTCTCATTCTACATCCCCATACCCCTACCCACAAGGTAGAAAACCACCGCTAGTATCAAGGAGGAAAAAAAAAATCATTTAAAGAAAATTTACCAGTCTCACTCAGAATGCCACCACACCTCAAAAGGTAGGACTGCAGCCTAGAAGGGAGAGGAAGCAGAGGGGATGGGTGACTTACCACAGCAGCAGGAACTGGGCTGTCCCGCTTCCACCTGACCACAGAGTAGGACCTCCTACAGTCCAGGTCCTTGATGTCCCTTCCCCATTAAGCCCCTTTTCTGGACAGTCCTAGGTCTCAGCTTTCATTTTGTGGCTTATCATTGGAACGTGACTAAGCTTTCCTGGCTACAACAGCCTTGCCACCTTGTGGCCAAATGCAAAATGACACCATTTGAGTCTAGCACTGCAGTGAGATCAGTCACATTTCTCAGTGCTGGGCAGGAGCATCAGGGCAGCACCGAAGGTGGTAAGCCTCTCTCCACAAAGATAAGGCCACAGCCTATAACAACTCCAGCCCTTGATTTCCTTGCTGCCCCTGAAGGGAAAGAGGCCTGGCTGGTGCTGGTTAAGGGAGCAGGGAGAGGAAGGAGAGGGAAGAAGGATGGGAAGCACCACCTCTAGTGCGCCTACTCGGTTCTAAAGCTAGAGGTTAGGTGGGAAAGGCTTTATCATGGACCATCAACAGGGTCTCAATTAAAGATCTGATTTATTCAAGTATCTGAAAACATTCTACAATGAAAACTGTTATTAGAAGCTGCTTATACTGTGCTATGGACCACTCACATATTGCCATACTGTTTTCAGAAGACTTGAAATGCCAATGATAGTTTAAAAACTGTACACCTGATGGAGAAGGAAGACAATTTAATGTTTCATCCGGATCCAGAGGTGCATCAAATTAAAGGACAGCTCCAATCTGCAAACAATGTTTCATGATGGTATCCAAGAAGAAATGGTTGGTGATAGACAATTCAGAAATGCTTCCCCAAAAGGCGGATGGTTCTTTAAAAAGTTTCAGGTCACAACCTTTGCAGAAAACACCTGACGCCCAACACACTGATTCTTGGTCCAGGAAACATGGGTCTTCCAAGTTCCATGTGGCTGGGTGCCCTGGCAATCATGTTTCTGTGCTGTAACTAAGAGGCCCCTTTGGAGCAGCAGGGGCTGTACATCATCAGTCATAGTGGATGGCAGTGTAAAAGATGATCCAAATGACCTAGAGAGGAAACAAGCAATGTTTGTAAGTCCCCTGACCAACAGGGTCAACACAGGCTTCATTCCACAGAACAAAAATGCTCTAAAAATGTGTGCATTGTGGGCTTCCCAGGGGCTATCCAATGCATAAGCTGCTTGGGGGCTTACATAATTTCACCGAAATCAAGCTTTCTCTAATAGAGCCCAGGACTATCTTCCTGCTCCCAAAGCGACCCTGGACAAGTCTCTTCCCCTGCCAAAGAGCAACCAGAGTGTTATAGATGTGGAAATGATACAGGTAAAGCAAACTGCACTGCTATTAAGTGTTAGGATTAGCAGCAAATGTGAAAACAAAACCACCATCACACCGTCAGCTTCGTATCAAATAAAGCACAGGTTCTTAAACTGGCTAACCTCTGCAATCTCTGGGACCTTTAAAAACAGAGAGAGAGAGAGACGCCCAGGCACTACCTCCCAGAGATTTTGATTTTATTGGTCTGGGCTAGGGTCTATTAAGAAAATAAATAAACAAAACTTTGAGATATATTCATATTCCATAAAGTTCATCCTTTTAAAGTATACAATTCAGAGGGTTTTAGTATATTCACAGAGTTGTGGAAACACTCTGGAGCACTTTCATTGCCCTCAAAACAAAACCTGTTCCCATTATCAGTTACTTCCCATTTCCCCTCCCACCCCCTGCCACTGGCAGCCACTAATCTACTTTTTATCCATGTGGATTTGCCTATTCCGGACATTTCACATAAATGGACTCATTCCATACGTGGTCTTTTGTGTCTGGATTCTTTTACCCAGCATAATGTTTCCAAGGTTCATCCATGTGGTAGCCTGTACCAGTACTTCATTCCTCTTTATGGCCAAATAATACTCTATTGTATAGTATACAACATTTTACCTAGTCATTCATCAGGTGATAGTTGTCTGCATTTTTTGGCAATTATGGATAATGCTACGAATGTATTTGTAAAAGTTTCCCAGTTTCTAATGTGCAGCCAGAGCTGAAAGTCAGATATAGAAGCTGACAATGAGCCCTGGATTTGCATACCACAGGCAGACTACACAGTGTATCTATCACACCTCATCTTTTGGGACAACATTACTGGAAAAAGAACATGCCTTCCAGCTTTAGGAGTCTTAAAAAATGATACCCAAGTCACACAGTGTAACTTAATCACGGGGCTCCCTTTGACTGACCCCTCATGAAATGACAAAACTTGCAGTAAAATTAGCTACACATACCATGAACAAGGCAAAAGATGTCATAAACCCTTCTTTGGTGAGCTCCCATGTGCCGCCATATTCTTCCTCATCTATCTGTAGGTAGTTGCTGAAGTACAGGTACAGGACTCCTGCATTGATCAGGCAGAATCTGGAGCAAGGGAGGACAAGTACCAAACACAAACTGTAAGCTTAGAAGACTCAACGCCCACCAACACAGTCCAGCCCTATCAGGGCACTTGATGTTGCACTATTAACTGTATTCTGGGGGCAAGTGAAATAATACATGAAAATGCCTAGGCCCTCAATGGAGCTGCCCACTTGGTTGAGCTAGGGACTTGAAGAATGAGCAATTCTTTTTAGTTCACCTGCAAAACTAAATTTAAAAAGTTTTAACTAGCATTCACTGAGCACTTATTAACCACATGCCAAGCTCTATGAGACAGGAGGAGCAGGAAGGGCTGAACAGAGGCCCTCTCCAATAATGCAAAACTTCAGCAGACAGAACACAACTATCACACTCAGTTCCCAGGCAAATTATAAATAATGAGACCTGAGGAAATGGTTTTACCTTAAGAGGCCCTAACTGGTGGCCATGCCAGAAACCAGGAGAAGCCAAGTTGGGGTCCAGATAGAGGGCAGTGAAGGCAGGAAGTGGGGAGGACACGATCACTAGAACTGAGCACCAGAGCAGTCCCGCCCTAAGCCCAGGCAACTGGGTCAGACAGATGGAGGGAGGGAGTTTATGTGGAAAAATCAGTGTCCTTGGGCCCTTTCCAAGAGCAGGGGAAAAGGTGCCAACCAAAAGAGGGAAGGGATTTATTTGGAGTGAGAGAAACTGGCTCTGGTAGGACAGTGTGGGAATGAACTCTAGAAAACAAGCAGTCCTGAGAAAGTGGCATGATGGGTAAGCCACTCCAAGGTGAATTCACTCCAAACACCTCATTTCTTATATTTCTTGTCTATTGAGAAATAGTCATATTTTTATCACTCTTTGTAAACCTAATCATACAACTGCAGTGAACCCTGCATGGAGTACCTATGATGTACTAAGTACTATGTTTAGCAATTTATTTGCATTATCTCATCAAAGTCACACATCAATCTCACAAGGAAGGCACTTTTATTGCCCTGTTTTGATAAGGAAAATCAGCCTCAGAAAGTGAGCCCAAAATTATGTAGCTTCAAACTGGCAGAGCTGGAATTTGAATCCAGAGCTTTCTATAAAGTGAAAACAAAAAAAGTCTCTGTGCAGCCTTACTCATCTGCCATAGTGGGAAAGATACTAGACTAGCTCAAGTCTTTGCTGTATTATTCCCAGATTGGGCGACTTCAAAGAAATCTGTTAGGAATCCTGCAGGGCAGGATAGGTGCAGGGCAGCTGAACCAGCATCATCCTCTCCTAGAAAAGTGGCCTGGGGAAGACAAGAGGACCCCCTTTGCTTTTAGATTGCCTTCCCCCTTCTCCGGCATTTTCCTTTTCTCTGAGGTTTTGTTTTTGTTTTTGTTTTTTAAATAGAAAGCTCAAATGGGGTGACCAATTCTAAAAATGTATCTATATACCACTTCCAACCTGGGAGGACCTCTATGAACCCCAGGTCCTGCCTGTGTCTCATCACCCTCAATCAGTCCTCATCAAATGTTTGCTTTGTTAAAAATCAGGCAGGGGATGAACCCACACTGGTTTTCTTGGACAAATGTTTTGCTCAGTATCATAAATCAAAAACCTCTAGGAGAGTTTCCTTTCGGGTTATCTTCTGAGAGAATAGGCAACTCAAATGAGTTTGAAATAAGTTCACCCCAAAGCAAGGGAATGATGAGATGTGATCACAATTAGAACAATCTACGTGATTTTCCATCGGTTTAACAGTTTGTATTCCCTGTGTGAAAAGAGAAAAGGCCAGAGGCCTGCCTGTCCACTTCCACCATAACTTCCCACAATTCCTATCTTAAGACAACTCCCACAAATACTTTTACTTCAATCTAGTGGGCATGCAGACTCACTTTCAGTGGCTTGTTAAAAAGCTGAGCCATGACCAGAGGCTGGTGTCAACTGTGCTGTCACTGGCCACAGGAGCACAGTAAAAGATGGAGAGACCAATTTCCTACTTTTTCACTGCCTATAAAATGCAGAGACCTAAGACAATTTCCGACAACACCAAGATTCAGAACATCCAACACAGTGCACAGGGAGTGGTCATTAAGTACAGAAGCTCTTCCACTTGCCAAACTTCCATAGACACAAAGGTCATGCCAGAGCTAGATGTCTGCTACCAACAGGCAATATGGCAACCTCTTGCATGAGGTCACTCTGGACCCATGAATGAATGAACTGGCCAAGATCTTTGGAAAGGTGACATGCCTAACCTAAGATGCTCCCAGGCCTGCTGAACTAAGGAGCGATGCACCAGACCTAGGAATGCCATCATGGGGCCAGCTTTTTGCTTGCGCATGCACACGCACACACACATATCCTCCAGAGGAGCAATGGACTTTTCCAAAAAAAAGGAAAATAAAATCTCTCTTTGAAAATAAATGATACCATGAACATGCAAGATACCTAAGACTTACCCTGCTATTCCCAAGAAACCTCGCAATGGTAACACTCCCCAAATGACACCTAGGACCACAGCAATGATCTGTCGGAACCAGTAGATTACATCTAAAAATTCATCCTGTAGAAAAGAGAGAATGCATGTATTATCTGGAGCGGGTGCCACAAGAGTGCCTCTTGTAATAGATGAAGAATAAAAAAGCTTTCTGCTAAACCCAACTTCCAGGGGAATTTTCCCCCAAAGCAGTGGTATATGGTTCTCTAATTTCCACAGCTTCTTATAATAAAATGAGATTTAAAAAAAAAGAGATATAATAGTTATCTTAAGGGATGACTTCCAGGGCCTGTGCTCTAAATAAAACTTTTAGAAAAATCTTTTTTTTTTCAGAAGCTGAAAAAATAAAATGGCTGTAGTAGTAACTGTGTTTCCTGCTACAGGAAAATTCTTATCTGACCTGGGGAGACCCGGACAGACTGACCACAAGCAGAGGGGCTGACTGTTAACCAATTCAGCACCACCTACCTACACATTGAATTTTAAGTAAGTCAAAGGAGAGAAAGGATTAGAAACAAAAAGTGCTAGAGGCAGGTGCCAATATACCTAATTTTCAAATAAGAACATGGAAGACTCAAGTTTCTGACCTGCCCTAGATTGCATAAACCAGTCCTTATACAAGGAAAGAAAGAAATGACACAGCAAATCAGAAAGGTTTCACAAGAGCTCGGGAGGACTCGGGGCAGGAGGAGGGCACCATCAGGAAGTGCCTCCCATCCCCAACCCCTTTACAGGAACTCCAGGAAAACCTATTTCATCAGTCTAAAAAAACAAGGGAAACACTGCAAATAGAACATTCTTTTCAAGCCAACTGTAATCAAGCTGCTTGTGATGGTTCCTTCCACATCATGGAGCAGGGTTGGGGAAGTGCTTACACTCAGATCTTCTGAAAGAGCGTGACCAGTAAGGGTATCTTTAAGCCCCCCAACCATTTCCTCACACACATTTGGTGGTTTCTCTCCATCCCTCCTCCCATCCGGAAGATGGTCTCAGTCTCTCCTCTCTGAATTACTAAGGTATTCAGTTTTCTCATTCTACAGTAAAGCCATGGCAGCTCACATGTAGTGAGCCTCGCTATGTGCTAAACGCTTTAACGCACCACGGCACCCTGCTTCAGAGTTGTTCTGAGCCTTGAGTGAGATGAAACACAGGGAGCGCCTGACACGTAGCAAATATTTA